GCCTGCCTCTGCCTCCCAAGTGCTGGGATTAAAGGCGTGTGCCACCAACGTCTGGCGTAGATGAATTTCTAAATGGTCTTATTAAATAAAACACATGGAGCCAAATATAGGGGTGAAAGCCTTTGATCAGGGAAATAGAAAAAGCTTCCAGCCAACCTTACCTTACCAACTCTGCAGCTTCCAAATGTGTATTACTTCCTGTCTACCTATGCCTTTATTGCCTTGCTGTTCTGCCCTCTCATTGGCTATCTTAACCCAGTTAACTCACTTCCTCTTCCTACACAGCTCTGTCACTTTCTGTCTGTCTCTACAAACTTCCAGGCCTGGTTGGTACTGGGATTAAAGGCATGTGCCACCACACTTGGCTCTGTTCCCTAGTATGGCCTCAAACACACAGAAATCCTGCCTGCTAAGAGATTAAAGGTGTGTGCTGCCTGACCTCTCTGTTTACTTAAAATGGCTGGCCTTTTCCCCCTGATCTCCAGGCAAGCTTTATTTATTAATACCCAAATGAAATATCTCCACATTTCAGCACAAATAAAATATCATCACATTGTTCTTTCAATTTTTGTGAAGACTGTTAGAATTTTGATGAGGGTAACATTGAATCTGTGGATTGCTTTTGATGGCATGGCCATTTTTATTATAATAGCCCTATGAATCCATGAGCATGAGAGATCTTTTCATCTTCTGATTTCTTTCTTCATTGTCTTAATGTTTTTTACCATAAAGTGTTTCAGGGTTTTTTTTTTTGTTGTTGTTGTTTTGAGGTTATTGTGAAAGGCTTTCCTGATTTCTTCCTCAGCTATTTGTCATTAGTGTGGGTCCCTAGATGTGAGTCCCCCAGCCACCTCTGAATGGCCTTTGCATACTGGAGATCCCTGGATGTGGAGGAACTGGGAAAACATGGTCTTGAACAGAATTAGGCACAGTTGTAGATGTAATTCTAAACAGTCTTATTAAATAAGAAACACAGAGCCAAATAAAGAGTTAAAAACCCAAGAGGTTAGGGCACTAGCGAATAGCCTTTAGCTTACCAGCCACTGCCGTCCTTCCCCTGAGAAAAAAGACCTACTTCCTGTGTGTCTGTATTTTTATTGACTTTCTGTTCTGCCTTTTCATTGGTTCTAAACCCAACCACATGACTTCTTCATCACTGCCTGTCTATACAGACCTCCAGGTCTCTATGGTTGGTACTTGGATTAAAGACGTGTGTCACCAAGCTGGCTATGTCCTTGAACATACAGACTCTGCTTGCCATGTGATCCAATTAACGGTGTGTGCTACCACTGCCAGACTTCAGCTAAATGGCTTGCTATTAGCTCTGACCCCCCAGGCAACTTTATTTATTAACATATAAATAAAATCACATTTCAGCACAAATAAAATATCACCATACACAGTGGGCAGAAATGACCTGGAGACTGTGTTGGAGAACAGAGACTGTGTTGGAGGACAGTTCCTTGAGCGTGGGGGGTACGATGACGACAAACAACATAACAAAACATAAACAAAAGAATAAAGAAATACACCTAATTTGCATATACAGACTGGATTGCAGGGAGGCAAATGTTAATGACACTCCAAATGAACAAGAGGAGAGTGCAGGAAGGAAATACTGCATAGATAGCAGAAGTCAGATGGCAAACTCCTGGTCACATGACTTCTGAGGAGCCAGTTTTCAGGTGGGGAGAGGGACGCTTAACTGACTTTAACATGATATGGCCTTTGTTTCTATGGAGTTGAGTGGGACCAGGCCTGATTTGGGTTGGGAGCAGTCCTACTCTTGCCATGCTGAGAGCATCTGGGGTATGGTCAATGCTCTAGCATCTCTCATCTGAGCTAGGGGCCCACATTTAGTTTATAAAATGGCTACTGATGAGTATTGATTTTGTATCCAGCTGCTTTGCTAAAAGGGTATATCAGCTGTAGAAGTTTCCTGGTAGAATTTTTAAGGTTGTTTATGTATACAATCATATAATCTACAAATAAAGATCCAATTTGTATACACTTGATTTCCTTCAACTTTCTTATTTCCCTAGCTAATACTTCAAGTACTACATTGGATAGGTATGAAGAGAGTGGACAATGATGTCTTGTTCCTGATTTTAGTGTAAAGGCTTTGGGTTTTTCTCCATTTAGGTGGATGTTGGCTGTGGGCTTACTTTAAATCATCTTTAATATGTTGAAGGAAGATTCTTGTATTCCTAGTCTAAGACTTTTATCATAAAGGGTTGTTGAATTTGCCAAGGGCCTTTTTGCATCTAATGAGATGATCATGTAATTTGGACTTTCACTCTGTTTATGTGGTAAGATCATATTTATTGATTTAAATATGTTGAACCATGCCTACATTTCTGGGATGAAGCCTACTTGATCATGCTGGATGATCTTTTTTATGAGTTTTTAGATTCCATTTGAAAGTATTTTATTGAGAATTTTGTATCTATGTTCATAAGGGATATTAGTCTATAACTTTCTTTGTTGTGTCTATATGATTTAAGTATCAGAGTAATTGTGGTCTCATAAGAAGAAATGGGCAATATTCTTTCTGTTAATATTTTTTGG